ATTTTTGCCTACAACTATCTGATTAATTGCTGGGTAAGGAGATGATGCCAGACTCTTCTGAAAGGTGCACAGTAATAGAATGAGGGCAAATTGATGCAAGTTGGAACATGAAAAATTCTAGTCAGATATAAAGAAAAAAATTTTACCAAAGAGTGGTCAAACATGGGGACAGGGGCCCAGATTGGCTATTGGATCTCCATCCTTGGAGATGTCTAAGACTCAGTTGAATACAGACCTTAGAAACCTGATCTAATCAGACCTGCTTTGAGTAGAAGGTTGGACTAGATGCTTCCAGAGGTCCCTTCAAAGCTAAGTTATTCTTTGGTTCTTGAATTCTGTCATAACTAGTACTAAAACAAGAGTGATATAGCAGACTTGGACGACCGGAAGAGGACAAAGAGTTTTTAACATTGCTTAGACTGTCTTTTTAAAATGGCCCTTGTCAGCAGAGTGTATATAGCCTTGTTGGTATGATCATACATGTATGATAAAAAAAAGTCAAGGGTGTGTTTCCTCCTCTTACCTAACTTACCTATTGTACTTTATAATGTTGCTTACAGTATTGACTACAATTTTTTATTTGGGTATGTGCAGTGTGTGCAAGTATGGATAGTGATAAATTCACACTGCCAATCTACATGGCCCATAAAAATTTTGTGCAAGTATAAGAAGAAGTTACTGCAACTGTAGAACCATTTGGGAAATGAAAGTGCCTGTTTCAGCAGTGTGGGTGTGATCCTTCAGTGCAGTCAGTATTTTCGATGACTGCAGGTGCATGCATGATTATGAATTTAGAATGGTCCAGGAATGTTTAAAAATAACAAAATACCTCCATTGTAGAATTTAATTTCTTGATTTCTTCTACCCAAATATTCATAATATACCCTTCCATAAGAAAAGTCAAGATCTAAGAAATCTCTATTAGTATGTTACACCCAATTCCGCTGTTTAGCATTTGTTGTGATTTTAAAGTAATCTTAACAACATTTTTTTTGATTCTTATTTGACAAGTCTTCAGAACTCATTTCTTTGAAATGTTTTCCCTATAGTCATGAGGGAATTACACATACTTGTAGAGAATCTGACATAATACATTAGTCCATTAGCTGTAGCATTAAAAAAAAAAAAAAAGTAACATAAGACTTGTGATTCTGAGAACTGATAATGCTGCTTTTATGATTTAAGAAGACTCTTTTTAATGGAGCATTTATATGCTTGTATGTGAATCCGTTACGTGACATGCAATGTGGTTAGCAACAGCTTTTGTGTATCATGGCTCAGGTTCCCATACACTCCTGACAGTATGTATATTCATGAGATTCATGACATTTTCCTGCATCTGCTCTTATAACAGATTTCATTTCAAAGCAGCACTTCATTGATGTAGTACACTGACGCATTTTACGTATAATTGCTTTTCATCTGGTTGTATGATTATTCTGTGACACCTAGTGGATATATTGATAGTAGTGCCAATTTGAATTTTTTTTGTTGTTGTTTTTTGTTTTTCTTTTTTTTTCCTTTTTTTTTCCTTTTTTTTTTTAATTAAGATTATCTTGATATGCATTCTCAATATGATATGCAAACTCAATTCGCATTACAAACACATAGACTCTATTTCTTTCTTGCTTTCTCTCTTTCTCTTTTTAAATTTTTTTCTTTAACTTTGCTTGTGTAATGACTTGTTCATAACTAGGTGAACAGATACACAGCACCAGTTTGAGGAAATTCCATGAATCCCAACATTTGAAATTTTACTGGTATCATTTAGTCAGAATCTGTACATGTGCAGTGTGTGGTCTTCACACATCAACTTTTTCTACTCTGTCAACTTTTTCGTGTTATGCTTCAAATATGCTGTTCTCTTAGGGATTGAACATATGTCATATAAATTTACAAAAGGTAACAAAGAAGTACTTAGACTTATTACCTTATGAGGACTATTAGAAATTCAATTCCTTTTCTGTTCTTAAAAAATGAAATGTGATAAATAATTAAAATATTATTCTGTAAACACAAGAATATATTTAGAATATTTGCATCAAGAAACAGTCTAGAAATTCCTTAAACACATGACCTACTTTCACAAGTAATATATATCTTATGAAGTATATGTTAATTTACATGTCATGGATTCTGAGCCTGAAGCTTATTTCACAGTCGTTTCTCCAACAGGAAGATGTTGAATTACTGTACAGTGTAGTTGCTATAAAAGCTGCGAGATAGGAAGACAGGTATTTTCATATGACTCTATCTTTTATGTTGATAAAGGGAGGGGAATTGATGTATTTGTAGACAGTGGCATCAAGTCTGCTTGCTGTATTGGTGGGTTGATGCTGTCAGTGAGCATGTTTCTAACTTCACAGAAGGTATTATATACTATTTGCGCAACAGGTTTTTAACTCTGAAATCTTCCTGTGTCCCAGTGACAGAACAATAGCTTACATGATAGCTAGGATACAATTTTAGTCTTTAAAAAGGAGCTAAAAGGAATGCAAGGTACATGAATTTGTGAGATTATGTATTTTTCATATTTGGGGAATTTGAATTGAGTTTTGCAGAGGGTATAAAGAAATTGATTTTAAAGACCATCTTAAAGATTTTAGGTTTTAGCTTGTCACTCTTCAGAGAAAATGTTTAATATTTCTGCTCCCAAGAGACTTCAAAATCAGAAAATGTTATACTAAACTGTGTCTTTAATACTAGTTGATGTGGTGTTCTTTTCCTGTTCTCTTCACTGTTGCTCATCATAACATCTCTCTTGTGACTTTCGTTTATGTAAAATTAGAGCCTGTAGCAACAGCATCATGAATAATGGACACAAAGGATCTAACACATCATTGAACGTTGGCAAAGATCTGCTTACTCTCCACCACCCGAAGCCGAAGCCGTGGCTTGAGTCCATTAATGAGTGTTTAACTAGTGAAAGCTTTAGTCTCAAGTAAAAAGACTTAGACTGGAGTAAATATGTTGGGAGCCCCAGTCACCTGAGAAAACAAAAGGTTGCACAGAGGGAACTGAAAACAGTGAGTGCTGTGTATCTGGCTGTCTGAGCTCCTTGTCTGCAATTCATGAAGAGTGCTCGTTGTGCAAACAAGTGCCATATTGGTGTCTGCCCCGCTTACCCCAGGGCACTCTGAACACTGTGCACCTCTTCAGCTCCCTCAGCACACACATCTGCAAAAGCTGCCTCCCTGGCACTCAGCCTCATCCTGCCCATGCTTGAAGGTAGTGATGCTGCGGGCCATCATGGTGTGGCACACCTGGTCTCATGGCCTGTGAATGAGTGCTGCAGCATGCGAGTGATGGTGAAATTGGGCCCTGGTAATGAACAGCATTTTCTGGTGATTTTTCCCTCAGTTTTTGAAGGCTTGTATTACGTACGCCTGATCTGAGTCATGGGCTAGTCTTCTTGTTGGATGGCTAATGAGACTGGTAATCTCATTAAATTGTGCAGTGAGAGTACATGTAAGCCTTCTTTGCTTTGTCATACCCGCAGCTTGGAGTACTCTGAGTGGAAAATAATGGATCAGAACAGAAACAGAAGAGTCATGACAAAACCCACCTTTTTTTTTAATCATAACGCAAATTGAGACAACATCAAAGAGTAACAAAGCTGTTACTGTACATAGAGATCATCTGCTGGTAAGCAAAGAAAAACAGTAGCTAAAAGGAAGAATACATCTCAATAGTTAGCAGTGTTCTTAGTGGTAAATTCATTGAGGTCCCTGGGAGCTGTAGACATGAAACAGGCTCCAAAAGGAAGGCAGAGGAAGGGGATGAAAGGCAGGATGTGAACCAGAGTTGCAGACTGCACAAGTATTTTCTCTATGTTATTGTATGTAAACTTCCAGGCTTCAGCTTCGTGACTGTTGGTTGAACCAAGACCAATGGCTCAAGCCAACATACAGTCAAGACCTCAGACCATTGTTCTGAGCTGGAAATTAATTTTAAACTTTTAACAGTGTTTTAGAACATACTACATAGGTTGTTGATTATACGCCAGTTTTTCATATAATGCTACTCATAATTCCAAATGCTATGGATCTAAAGTGATCATGACAAATGGAACAGATTTTGTTTGTCTGCCATAATACAAAATTTACTCTTTGTTAGCAGTCAAGTAACTTTATTGTGTTTTTGCTGTTAGTAACTGTAAGTGTGCATTGATGTAAATACAGAATTTTAGGCTAAATTAATGTAATGCTGGGTTATTCAGATCACTGATCTAGTCCTGGATCCCAGTCTACTAACTTTCTCAGTCTTACTTGTCAGCTGCCTGAGCTCACTAAGGGCTAAAATTTAAAATGGAAGTGTTGTGGGGCAAAAAGCAAAAGACATTTTTTCTACCAGCCAGAATTATTAGTGCAGCTGCATTTCTGTAAAATGAATTTTAGTTTTGTTGAGGCTTAGAACATACTCTGTCTGACATTCATTCTTGATGCTTAATTAAGACAGAACTTGCATGTACTGTTTTATTGCATGTTTTAAAAAGGAAAATAATTCCAAGCATATAAATCCTTCTGACAGTGAAAATTCAGCTTTCCCAAAAAGGAACTTGCAGGTTGAGATTGGGGATGGTGGTTTTCAAGAGGACATCAGGTTAATATTGTTTTGACAATTTCTTTTGACTATGGTTGATGTTATTTACCTAACATATGTATGGACTGCAATTAATAAAGCTCCCTATCAGTGGTAGCACATAGGTTAGATGTGACACCATGTGAATTGCAACTATTAACAAAGCCAAGTCTGGTTGTCTTAAAAAGCATATAGCTTATTTAATATTGTCTATGTAGTGAGTGTGGGTTTTTTTGTTTGTTTGTTTTTTGTCATGTGTTTTGTTTGTTTGTTCGTTTTCGTCAGAAAATGCTTGGAAACATTATTCAAATAATTGCTTGTGGGATGGCCAAGTAAGTAGCAAGATGGGTTGGAAGATGCTAATCCTGACTGTTCCCTGCATCAGTGATTGTGCCCTGTTGGATTTTTTATTTTCACAGGGCTCAAGAGGAAGTAGGAAAGATACAATTTTGAAGAACTGGGTATTACATGTAAAATCAAAGGTAAGGGTACTCAGTTTAAGTATCAGACTTTATATTCACAAATGTTAAGTAAATCCAGGTGATGTCAGCTGACTTAAGGGAGTTCAGCTCTTTCAAAAAAAAAAAAAAAAAAAAAAAGGTCCAATATTCAACATCCTGAAATAAGTGAATATCTGGGGGAAGGGAGTAATTAATATTTCATTTTTGTGTCATCTGCATGAATTCAATCTGGTATAGAGCATGGAGATTAATTATGAATGTTTAGGAAATGCTTACTGTAAGAAAGGTTTTATTCTCACCTTTTATTCTTAGCCATCTCTGATGAGAAAATAAAACTGACATGCTTTCTTATCTCTTTTCTTAACAAGAAGCAATCCCTAATTTGGCACAGCTTCACCTCCTCTTACTGCAGATACTCATCTCCCAGATAATCCTCCCTTGCTTTTTGGTTTTTATGCCTGCTAAGATGTGAAGAATACCTGTAAGATTTGTTTTTCATAAGACGTGTTTCACTTGCCCGTGGTGGATTTGCCCTTTCTACACAGGTTTCAAGTCCCCTGGCTGCTGGCCTCACCCTGATTTCTGGGCGTTGGGATCTGGTAATCATCATTTCTACCATCAAGAGCTGGGAAGTGCAGCCCAGCGTGAGTTCCTGCTGCTGCTGCTCCTGCAGCCGTCCGTGTCACTCCTGGCAGCCATCTTATGCTGGGCAGAAAGCCCACCAGGGCTAGCACAGCAAATCGGCTGGTAAGTGAGCAGACAGAAAGATTATGCTAGGAAAACATCAAGGATAAATATTTAAGTTGTACAAAGCAAATAGCTCGTAATATGCTAAACAGTTCTGCTTTCCTTATGGAGTTTATTTTATATATATATATATATATAAATACATGTATATGTGTGTATATATATATATATATATATATATATATATATATATATATAAAAGTATCTCCTTAAATTTTTATTTGCTGAAGAATACAAGCGCAACATACAAAGTAGCTGGTGTATAGCCCTGGTTTAATTTCTCTTTTCGTGGAAGCTTTGAGGAATGCTGAGTGTTTTCGTCAGTCTCATGAATACTAACTTGTATAGTTTTTTAGCATTTGGAGTATTATATATTATATAAGCAAAACTCAGAAATAAATGCTATAGAAAAGAAAAATATATGGCAGTGTAAGTGCTTCAGTTTGCATAAACAAGAAAAGATCAAACATTATAGAAAAATAAGGTGTTATTTTGATGGAAAACTGTCTTTTTCCTACAACATTCCCCTTTGAAGCATCTTTTTAACATTCAAGACATTTACAGCACTAAGGCTATTAAATGTCTTTTGAACATGTATAGAACATGTCTGTGAAGGTGCTGAACTCCTGTGATGTACACCCAGCTCCAGCTCCTTGTCTTTAGCGCTAGCCAGATCCCTATACACTCATTCAGAACATTAAAGTAGCAATTACTAAGCATGTCCCATTTTTGTATAGCGTTGTAAACCTTCTCTGAAACATGTTACATGAGCATTCATTTCTATGGAGGAATTTCATTGAATTTAGCATGGGTCCAGGTAAGAGTAAGGAATCTCTTGTGCAGGTCTGTAGTAGATACAATGTGGCAGATGGAATTATCTACATTTGTATGTTTTCACATGCTGTTGCCATTTTTTTCCATACATAGTGTTCAGGATTTTAGGAACATAGTAGGTTACTACAGAGCTCAGAGACATGTAGCCACAGAGTTCTGCTTTATTTCATGACTGTTCCTTTTTGCCAAGTATTTCCAAAGAGTTTGATAAAGACAATGGTTTCTGTGACTTTGTTGAATTATGTGATAGAACCATATTCTAGTACCTATAATGTTCTGTGTATTAATGAAGGTAAACAAAGGTGGACAACTACATAACTGGTGAAATTACTGCTCAATACAAGCAGTCAGTTGCTCCTAAATTCTATTTTGTTGTGAACGTTTTCTGAGGATCCAGAAATGTTACCTTCAATATCTGTGCATTATAATCTGTGCTGTACTAGATCATCAGGACTATTTTCAAAGCCGCTGAGATCATGTGAAGGCATACTGTTGTTTTCAGCAGTGTATGAATTGCTCCCCAAGCCCACTGCATATTTTTTCTTTTCAAAAGTCTTCTGAGGATTTCAAAGAGATCGTTCCAGAGCAAAACTGTGAACAGGGTTTGTAGAAACCAAAAGAGTGCACCTGTACACCGTAGTACTAAGTAACCTCACTACTGAACAAACATCATGACCAGAGCTGATCACCCACTTGGATATTCTCAAAAAGGTAGAGAAAGCTAAGTTTGGTCTCGTATTCACAGTCTCGTTATACTAATGCCTAGTTACAGATATTAAGAACTTAGTGTATGGAGGCTAATGTTCTTTTGTAGCCAGTTGAGAAAGACAAATGCTTGTACAGAGAACTATAGAGAGCAGGGCCTAAGTGAAACAAATTTTAGAAAAACAGCTGAATGTAGAGGGAGGCTGTAGAGACTTGATGCTTTGAATATTTCCTGTTGTACCTGTCTGAAGTTCCAGCAGAATGTATCTTAATTTATTGAGGACAATGGCTCTATGTCCCAGTGAAGGCTGGTGACAAGTTGTGTCCCTCAGGAGTCTGTTCTGGGATGGGTACTGTTGAATATTCTGTGATTCTGTGAATATCTGTATCAATGACATAGACAGTGGGATTGAGTCACCTCAGCAAGTTTGCAGGTGACACCAAACTGAGGGGTGTAGTTGATACAAGAGAAGGAAGGGATGCCATCCAAAGGGACCTGGACAAGCTTGAGAAGTGGGCCCACATGAACCTAATGAGGTTCAGCAAGGCCAAGTGCAAGGTGCTGTACCTGGGTCTGGAAAATCCCAGACGTGAGGACAGACTGGGAGAAGAACTCATTGAGAGCAGCCCTGTGGAGAAGGACTTGGGGGTTCTGGTGGACCAAAAGCTCATCATGAGCCAGCAGTGTGCGCTTGCAGCCCAGAAGGCCAACTGCACCCTGGGCTGCAGCAACAGAAGGGCAGCCAGCAGCAGGTAGAGGGAAGGGATTGTCCCCCTCTGCTCTGCCTTGTGAGGCCCCACTTGGAGTGCCACAGCCAGCTCTGGGGCCCCCAACAACAGAAGTTGGATGAGGCCCTGGGCAACCTCATCTGCTGGGTGGCATCCCTGCCCGTGGCAGCAGGGTTGGAACTGGATGGTCCCATTATGGATCCATGAGGACCATATCTTTAAGGTCCCTTCCAACCCAAACCATTATTATGATTAATGATTATTATATGATTACTAAATTACAGTAAAGTTTCAAAATCAGTGAAAGAGACATCTTAGTTTGCCATCTTAGAAGCAACTTTATTTCAGTAATGAGTTAAATTACCATATACATCATATTTCCAAGGAGTCACAGATTCACAGAATCTGTGTTTGTAAAATACTTTTCACTTCTTGAAGGATTCAAGCTATATGAAAGTATTATGTATGTTATATTTACTTAAAGATACATTCGGAAATACTGTGTGTGAAGTTTGTCATATGTGGATCTCAGGAAACTGTATCCTTCCCTCCACCTGTTGGTTTCTGTCTGAAATCTTCAGAAAAGTTACCTGTGATGGTACTGCTCTGTCACGTCCGTAGCTCACATGATGATGTGTCAGCTTAATTTCCTGCACAGAGTCTATTGGATTCAGTCAGAAAGATTCCCTCGGTCTCAGCATCTACCACAGCAGAACCTCAGCCATCTACCCCACAACCACTCTTAACAGCAAAAGTTTGTGACATGTATAATAGTGAACAAATAGTCTGCAGGAACAGAGTGGTGTCTGCATGACTTTGGAAGCCAGAAGATATTTGTTCTGTGGAAGCAAGCCAGAAAGCACTGATCTGGCCTGCATCCAGACCCTTAACCTTGCTGGGGAATGTCCCTACCTTGTGGCTTATCTTTGAGCTGTGCGTTTCCCCAGTGCAGTCACCGTGCACTTCCTCAAGCACACACCTGGGGCATTTACCTCGCCCCTGGTATCCTAGTGAAGTTTTGCATTTGTAAATTATTCTGAGTTTTGGGGTGAAAGGTGCTCTGAAACTGCAGAATGCTTGTTCTGTGTTGTCCCAGTGTCTGTTAATTATTAAGGCTTTTAATTATATAACAACCCAACTCTAAAACTGTCATCTTTCCTATTACATCATAGAAATAGCAGAGTTGGCTTTGTGCCTTTTTAAAAGTGACTGCTGAGGTATTTATTAACATCTGTTCCAAGACATTTTTCACTGAGCAGTGAGAGTTAGAATATGGAAATGTCATATTTTTCCTAGTATTAAACAGTTGTTAAACTAGAAACATAACTCTTGCCAGATAGTTATTTTGTATTCATATCTTCTTCATAGAAAGAAAGTGAACATGCACTTTTCTTTCATTAGGTATTTTAAAGTTCATCCTTGTTTGGTGATCCAGTCAATTAAAATAAGTTTATGAGCAGCTTGTAAGAGCAGGAGAATAATTAATTTTAAATGTCGGATAAAGCACATTCTTTTCCATTTTTGTTTGCTAGTGAATTCTTCAAACTACTAATACCCATAATAACTGATCTTACAGAAAATAGAACTACACAAGGTTTATATTGCTTTACAAATAATTATCTCAGTGTCTATGAAGTAACAAATTATTCTTTTTTTGTGGAAGAATGTACATTAAGGCAACATTATGTCAGAACTTCAGGTATGGAGAAGAATCTTAAACATCGTTATCAAAAGCTTAGCTGCATTCAGTAGAAGATAAGTGAATCTTTTTGAAATGTTTCTTAAAAGCTCACAATTTTTTCAAAAGGATGAACATTTTTCAGTCTCCCATTACACCCATGAGTGAAAGATAGGCAGTATAAATCATTAAAACATATCAGGTTTTCCAAAATTTTGCCATTGTTTGGGTCTGTATTTTCACATCTGTCTCTTGGAGTCACTGGAATCAGCTGCAAGGATCTTCATCTGAAATTTCTCGTGGTTGGAAGTGTTTGGGTCTGTGGGGTAGGCTGAGCTTTTCAATGCTGTAAACACATCATTTTTAATGCCAGAAATTCATTCTTTGAACTGTTTTCACTGGACCATCCAGCATAAAGAGCAGTTACACTGAAGTATTACATTGTTTTTCTTCTTACACTCTAAAACAAATGCTTATCCAAAAGTCTCACTTTGAAGTAAATCACACAGTACACAGCTTTCCTCCAATTATTATGTGCTGGTTTATATTTATATAAGCATAGGGTTTGTTTTAAACTATAGCCCTTTCTGTGAGGTGACTGCATAGTACACAGGTACACACCCAGTGTTTCTAAAATTTACCAGCTTCTGCACAGAATTTTAGAAAAGGCTCCAATACAAATTCCAGGCTCCTAGGAAAAATACTGAGATCTCTGGCTGCACACATAAAGAAGATGCTTGTTTTTAAACAAAAAACATGCATGGGAGTTTTTTTGTGTTTTTTTTTTTTAATTTTCAAGTGATTATTTGGAGAGTAATTGACCTTACCCAAAAGCTGGCACTCAGAAAATGTAGGTATTTCAAACTCTTAAGTGTATAGAGAAAACTGTCATGCTTTCTGCTGCAGAGGTTTCCAAATGGCTTTCATCAGTTGAGGTTAGAGAGAGCTTTGTTACTAGTTATTACCAGTTTATGCTAAAGAGATGCTGAAATCTCTCCTACTACACTTTTTTATATAACATACAAAGAATAATTTAATGAATAATTAAATAATAATTTAATGAATAATTAAATAATAATTTGGCCTGCAAGGGCATCAGTGTTTTAAGTTGCAAAATCTGGGGTTGTACAGTATTCACTCTCATGCAGTGGTCTCAGAGAAGTCAAGATTACACCGTTCCTGTTTTGTGCCACAAATATGCAACATGTACAGCTTGGAGCAATCAGTAACCTCTTTCTACATGTGGTCGCAGTCCACTACAGTGAAGTGATCTTTGAAGTTGACAGTATAATGTTGCCTTTTATAGATTAACACATTGCTATCTAATTTGGTTAGGCATTTGCATTCTCTTGTTCCTTGAAGGTGAAGTAGCTAATACCTCTGCCTGTCTCTGCAGTACTCTTAACATTTGAGTCAATCTAAAGAAAATACCTTTTCTTTTTTTCACTGTGCCTGTCTCTTTCAAATTGGGGGTGCCCCTGGGCCTGTGGTATGATTGGGATAGTAACAACTGAAAGAGAAAGCTGGTGCTGTGCATGGTTGTCTTTGAGAAAATGTACAGAGAAGCTGCTCTCTGCTTTTTCAGTTGCTGTCACTCACCTTATAATTATTTCAGTATGCATAGAAATGAAGATGATACGTGCATTTTCTCTTGCTGCTCTCTTTTTTAGGTTCCCAAATCAATTATGCTAAGAGCAGTGAAAGATCACTTCAGTTGCCCTGAAATGTGAACTGCCTCCTTTGGGGTGAGACCTGCTTCATAGTGAAGCATGGCTTTAGTTTCTGTGTTTATCATTTATTGCTTTCTTTAGCTTACTGTTAACAAAGACTAAGTTAGCTTGTGAAGTTAGGTTATTTGCTTTGAAAGTCTGCTTATTAAAGTGGTATTTATATTACAATATGGACTGATATTACAGTTCTTTTCACTTCTATGGATTTTCCCTCAATGGGATGTGTTGTTGTACATCAAACCAGACGGCAGGCAATAACAAGCTGGTCAAACTCTAGCATAGGTGTGAGATTAAAGTAGATTATACTATAGTGGCAATTTTGCTAGTCATATTAACAAAAGTCTATGTAGTACAGTAGTGTATGCTTAGTTTGGCCATTGATTCAGAGCTGGTTTACTGTCCTTTGAGGAGTAGCATGTTGCTTAAGTAAGCCTTAACATTTTCTCACAGTCTGGACAAATTCTTGATTCAGTCTTACGGATTTACCCATGCAGAACTTGGAAAGTCAGTCAGAGAAACTCAGCTGTTCCCCATTAGGGTAATAGAGGAATATCTAGAAGGCAATGTTAAACAATCCCTCTAAATCAGCGTCCACTCTCTAAGTCATTACAATGCCTTTCTTAAAGTGACAAAACTGGTTTGATAAGATGCAGTCATGTCAGAGCTGGAAGTACAAAAGTGCATTTATTAAAAATGAATGCTGTATCCTCTTTCCCCTTGTGTATCTTGTCACTGACATGACTTCACAAGTTGCAAATCTATTAAATGTTTCAAATGTGAAACTAGAGCTCATTAAGCAAAATGTCAGCTGGTATGTAGCAAACTGTTTCAGACTGTACACTGTTAATATTTATCTCCAGAGTTTTCTGTCTTCTAGGTTGTCACCAAGTCATCCAGCTGTCTGAGAATATAGTTTGTCTTTCGTCTGATCAGAGTCTGACTGTCCTTTGGGGTGAGGTAGTAGGTTGTATAGTTTTAGGGTTATGCCCTGCCTGTCAGATAACTATACAATCTACTGTCTTTCCTGAAGTGGCTGTGATATCATCGCTGGATATGTCTTCAAAAGGCAAAGTAAATATATTTCAATTGTAACATTCTCTGGCTCTGACTACATGTTGAATTTGGTTCTCATAGCAGGGTTATGAAAGAACACAAATGTCCTTATATTGTTTAAATTCCTGGATCTGGCATTTAGATTCAAAATTAATTTCCTTTTTGTCATCTTCTCAGAGGAGGTGTGTCACAGGGCACAGAGGTACAACCCAGTCTACTGTGGATTTGCTCATGCTCAGCTTTCTCCAACTGCCAGCATGCTCTTTAGAGTGGCTGTTTGTAAAAACCTGACCCATTTCTTCATTACTTTGTGGCATTTGTGTTTATACTCAATGGAAAATGCCAATTTTGATTGAGAAGTTATTTAAACCCACTTTGCATAAGCTGTTTGACAAACTAAGTGATGACTTGGATAATAAGACAAAGAGGATGTCTTCCAGTTGCTCGTGTTCTGCCCTGGAACCAGTAAATGCAAAGTAAAAAGACCCTACATCTCTTAACTAACTTTAGCAAAATCCTAAGTAAAGAGATTTTTAAAAATCAGTTTTTGAACACTGATTTAACTTACTTTTGTATTACATAATGCTAACTTGGGAAGGCATGTGCTTTCCACTGCAGTTCTGTCTGTGGAGTCACCTGACCAATTCTGATGAACTTCCAGGAAGAACACTGAGGAAGGGTTGACAGGACATAATTATGGTCTTTTTAAGACTAAGATACACGTGGGATAGAAGGTGTTCAGGAAATCTTACTTGCAAATGATGAAATGCTAGTATTCTTCAAAAGATCTACTTGATGCTCTAACAGGATGAGGTAGTAGGTTGTGTGGTTTCAGGGTAGTGATTTTGCCCCAATCAGGAGATAACTATACAACCTACTGCCTTCCCTGATAAGCAGCATAACATCAGTGTCTTAATTCACAGAAAATCAAGGGCTAAAGTAGACTTCTGTGACCAGCACAGTAAGTCTACATACAATTGTTGTTGCCCTGTCCCTAATAGCTCTAACTTTCATGTCTTGCTTTGTTTTTAATAACTGCTTTTGAAATAATGATCTTTTTTAAACCATTGAGAAAAAATGAATTAAAGAAATTTTGCTTATTCCAAAGTTTGTCTGTTCTTGATCTGTTTCGTTTCTGATTCATTTCAGTGGAATGAAGTTATCGTGGGAAATGATTCCAAAAATGCTGTTGAACGTGCATTCAAGATGTTCGTGTTTCCTTGACATCTTAGTTTGAGTGCAACAAATTTTACTAGCAGAGCACTGTTTTTGTTCAACCCTCCGTGCCTCCCAGGAAACTTCCAATGTTTCACAAATAGCAGATTAACTCACACAACACTCTTCGACAGATCAGCTTTGTATTACAAATAACAAGCTATAACAATTAAAATCAAGGACCAGATTTAAAAAAAGAAAAACAGACATTGATTTTTTACCCTCAGTTGCTCATAGGCAGTCTCATTTCATGACATTGAAATGGTCCCAAAAGAGAATTCATTGAGTATCTAAAAGGAACAAATTGCACCTGGAAAACTGTGGACAGAAAATATTAGATCCAATAAAGATGCTTTGAGAATACAAACTGTAGTCTTACACTACCCCACCCCCCCAAAAAAAAATAAAAAAAATCTGTGGAAGAAGGGGAATATAGCAATAAGGTGCTGGTTTTAGTTCTAGGCACTGAAATCATTCTTCCATGTGCAAAAAGTACCAGGAAATATGAATCATGTAAAACTTAAGGTTACCTTAAGATCAGGGTTATCAAGCTGGTTATATAGAGTCATTTGTGTATATTTTGATTATACAGCATCTGATTAATGTAAAGCGGAATGAAAATTTTAGTTAGTTGTAATCCTCTATTCCTATCTCAAATGCTATACAAAAGAAAGCCTTGCTCACATAAAAACCATTACTCTCTTACATATATGTAGGCAAGCTCAGACATCCACGGTAAGAAAAAACAAAGAACCCTGATGTTACATTCAGCAGCAAAACTGGGTATTTTATTGCTTCTCTCATCCAAAAATATCACACATATCTAGACTCAAAAGGTTTTTGAGGTCACTCAACACTTCAAAACAGGGCCATTTGTTAATACCTTTAATAAATGGCTAGGAATGTTACTTGATTCTTGTTCATAGGAATAAAGGCAGTTGGTAGATGAGGAAAAATTACTGTCTGAAAAACATAGAATAGGCAATACTGTGGCTGCTTTTAATCTTCTCTTTTCTTCTTGCTGTTTAAAGAGGATCTCTTAATTTAAAACTGCTGTAGGGATACTTACCATGCTGGCCATGTTCAAGGGCTCCGGGACATGTGTTGCAGATCCTGAACTCTTCTACTGAAAATACAGACTCACAGCTGCAGCATAAACATCTTAGATGAGTGAGAGTAGTGATTGCACTGTGTGTAGCTTAAAGCATCCTGCTCCTCTCCAAGATGCAAAACTGCCTGGAAATTTGTAGCTTAGTTTTACATTCAGTAAATACATAGCAAATATTCTGTACTGGAGAAAGAGGTGAAAAGGGGGAAAGTACTCTCCACATTCTACAACAGCCTTTTAGATCTTGCCTCTGAAGTCATTTTAAAGTCTTTCGTCTCTGTCTGGGTCAGCATTTTGTTCTTGGTAATGAGCTGTGAGTTTTCAGATTCTAGTCATCCTGGCAATCCCATTAAAACAAAGAGCCAAAAAAATCCATAGCGTTCTCTTCACTGGGATCTACAGTAAATGCAAAAACATGTGCCTATATTTAGCAGTGTGCAAGCCTGCGGTTAATCAGGTTTGTCCTTAGCAGTAGGTGTCATTACAGCTAATGGGAACAGCAATAGAAACTTGAAAGAACAACTCTATAGTGCCAAATATTTTCCAGACTAATATACAGAAAAACTTTGTAACAAAACATTAGTAGCTTGGGCTAGAATTGTTATGGAAAGTGTGGGTTTTTTGCTTGTTTTTTTTTTTTTTTTTTTTTTTTTTTTTTTTTTTTAATTCAAGTCAGCATTTTGGGGGGAGGGGCATGTTTTGGTTGGTTAGTTGGTTGGTTTGGTTTGTTGGGTTTTTTTTTGAGGTCATGCACTGTTCTGTTGTGCAGACTCACTAGGTGTGAGGAAAGCACATGATCATGAGCTACGTAGCATGCAATTTTATAATCTGTATCTGCTTAAACATTGTTTTTTAGTCCAACAACAGCATTAAGTGAAGAGAGGCTGAGTATTTCTTGCTGGGACAATGCCTGTGTATTTGGTTATAACAGACTAAGCAAAAAGCAGTGGGCACAGAATTTTCTGTGAGGCCAGGATTTCAGTTGTTTGTTCCCCTTCTCTGCCCAGGAGAAAGTACACATATATTCAACATAAACATCAACCATTTCCCTGCCATCAAGGCCACCATTTACAAATTTTAGATCTCTGCTGCAAGTATGTGTGGAACATTACACTTCTTATTCCACAAGGCTGGTAAGTTTTTGAGTTTTGTTTTAACATGTGCAAACTTCCTTATTCTCCAAAAACAGATGTCCAGCATGAAAATTTTGACTCCACTTGATAAAAGACTAAAACAAATGTAAATGTTTTTAGACAAGCTGGGTAACTCTAACAAAAGTCTGTGCTACCAGCCACACTTGCAAAAATCTCTACTACTACTGTGCATAGGTACCATGAGGTGCCCGCTGCAGGGCTGTTCCTCTGGAGCCACTCTGGAGAGGACAAAAGCCTTGAACACAGAAATAGTTACTGGGAGCTTGACTGAAAGAGCAAATTACAAGGGGGATTTATAGTGGGAGAGGATCCAAAAATGTGCTAAGACCATAGCTGGTATGCCAGTCAGCATTGATACAGATTCAATGTATTGCACAACATACTGCAAAACAAGAGTTGCACCTGTGGTTACAGGGAGGGAGCTGGTGAAAAAATGCGCGCCTTCACTTGTGCTCGAAGAGCTTCCCCAAACTGCCTGTTCCCAAGACTGTTCTTCAAACAGGAGACAAACATTAAATGAGAACAAAATAAAATTTTTAACTGAAGTCATCTGTGATAAAACAGTATGCACCATTCAGAGAAGGTGAGGTCTGAACATATTGCTAATTACCATGAATGTGATCGTGCACAGCGGTTACCTTAGAGATGTCACAGCTGAAACCTGTTTGGGCTTGGAGGTTTTCTGTAACTAACGCTATGCAGTTCTCAGAATATGAATGCATATTAGTTATGGGAATAATGGTTATCAAGATAACTAAAGAAATAATTTCTGTCATGCAGTACAAGAGCAAATCAAAGGTGGGAAGGGATGGGAGGATGCAGAATTAGATTAAATCTGAAAAAGTAGTTGGCAAAAGCAGGGTGGGGCTATACAAGCCGGAATTTGACCAGTGTCTGCAGTTAAATCACATACTTTTTGGACAAAAAAAAAATACCACCAAATGATCATCCAAGTAGGGGTATTCTACCTCTTACACTGACCTCATGTTTTCTGCCAGGCAGACAGATCAGAAGCAGACATCCAGCTGAAAGCTGGCCACATACTTTTGCCTGTCAGGAGGCAGGGCAGCAGCTCCAATGGCCACATCTAGCAGCTCCCCACACATCTTGCATCACTGCACACAGAGCGGAGAGACATCAATGCACTGCAGGGGTGACACAAGGTGTGTTTGTGACTTCACATCTCACTCTACATGAGGCATGTTTGCTCTGCTGGACTGTTCCCTTCTAGCTCTACACATTGGTCTTTGTTAGTACAGGAATTATTACACTTAATGGAAATGAAGTTCCATCTAGGCACATACAAAGGCCAGTCAAAAACAGGATGAAACAAATTGTGCCCCACTCACCTATTGTGTTTGGAAGTTTTTGAAGTGAAAATACTGGAAACCAATTTTACAAAAACATACAAGGAAAAACATCCAAACTATTTGCTCTTGTGATTTGGTAACTTCATGAGGATTTTAGCTTTGAGGTGACAACCTACTTCTGTGCACCATGATAAATCCTGCTGATGCCATTTATTTTGCACAGGTGCAGCTGGGGTTGGAGTAGACGACACTGAAAAAGTCCATTTAACCACGTGCACAAGCTCCAAGAGCATGTGTGCTTACAACTGCCAGCCAGTCCTTTGGTACCACTGCACTGCCATCAAGGCGGGCATGCCTGTTCTTGGCAGAGAGGGGTGTCTGCCAGCAACACCCAGGATGTGCTCGCATGGCCTCCAAGCACAGCCCACAGACCCTGATTGCACCCAAATGCCACTGTCTTATATAGTGCTGGAACCCACAGTGGCCAGGTTTGGTCTGTAGCACAGCCCAGCTCCTCCAGCCCAGGCTCATGGGTACAGCTGTCCGCAGTAAGGCTGGAGTGCTTGGTTGTGCCTGCCTGCCTTGTTCTCACCATGCTGTGCTGGTGTTTCACAGGGGGTGATGCCAAGGAAGGAGAGCTGCTGGGCTAGATACCTCCCACACCGTGTGCTTTGCAGAGAGATGTGGGCTGTGGGCAGCTGAGCTGCAGAAGTCATTGTGGCTGCAGTGCAGATGCAGCAAGTGGAATCAGCAAGTGGGATGCATCAATGCAGCAAGTGGGAAAGAATACAAATAAAAAATTAGGCCTGTCCTAAGAGCAGCATACAAAATTTGAAGGACGGGAGGATTAATAACATATTTTAAAGCTGCCCTGGCATGGCTCTGATAAGTGTGTCTCTACTTAATCCATGAAGGTAACTTCCATTAGAACACTGCAGTGGATAGCATATTTGAAGATGTCTGCAAGGGTATGGTACTCAGTGACTTGGATGTCCAGATCTTACCAAAAAAATCTGTGCCAGCAGTGCTGAAAGAGCAGGACAACGGCATCAAAAAACTAGGCCAAAAGTACATTGATTTTCAAATAGATCTGTGCTCTTAAGTCACTTTGGCACTTTTAATTGTTTTACAATTTACAGTAATGATTAACAGTCATGCTCAGCTTTTGATCGTAATAAGGCTTTTGTCTGGTTGTGGAATACTGTTCATGCCCAGTCTCCAACACAAATCAAAACCATATGAGTAAGCAGGTTAAGAGACAACCAAGTTGTAACTAAGTTGCCTGATGTGGCTTAGTTTTGTATTCCAGCCAGGGCCTGAGGTTCTTACTAGAGGTTTTCCCTGTCCAGCTTGCATATTCAAATGTAAATAATAATATTTCCATCCTTGAGGAGCTCATGTGAGATTTTATAACACAAACAAAGGCATTAGTGTGTTAAAAAGGTCTCTCAATCAACTGAAAGTGTGCAGCAGTTTATATATTAGTACGTTTTTAATTAACACTTGGAAGAGAGAAATACTTGATGCACTTAAGAGTGACACAAATAAAAGTGCCTTTCGTACATTCTCAGTGTAAACATCTAAACTGAAAATAAAATTATTCCTGCTCTCACAGAAGGCAACTGGCATTTAGCTTTTGTGAAAAATGGCAGCTTAGTCTTTTTTTTTTTCACACTGCCAGACAGGTTTTTCGACCGACTTGCTTTTAGTGATGAAAACATCTCACTTCCTGTGCAACTGTGAAGAGAAAACCCCCGTTTGCTGCACCCCAGGGCATGGGGGGGTTCCAACCTCATCTCAGCCTTCACAGTCCTTCCTGAGCAGATGACTCTCGTGTGGCTGCATTCACACGCTCCTCTCTGCATTTCACCCGAGTTTGGTACTGTGTCTTTTACATTTGCTAAAAAGCTACCCTGTGAACTTGCTAAATGGTGTTCCAGAAGCAACTATTTGAAAATCAGGTGGGGAATCCCAGAGGTCCCATTTTTGTTTAGGTTTGGCTTACTGTCACATCACAGTGACCTCCACTACAGTTAGGCATATGATATCAGGTAGAATGTAAAAAAAATAATAATTTTCCCCTCAAGTTTGAACATGTCCTGCAGTTATATTTTCTTTTTCTCTTCTTTCCATTTACCACAGGTAAAATTTAATGGTTGATGGTCCAGAATTTAGAGATTAAACTATTATTCCCTCTCCTTATCAAAATTCAGAAATGTTTTGAATTTTGAATTGACAAATTAGTTTCCACTTCATTCCCCTGTGCAGTTCAGTATTGTTTCCAAAGTTTAAGTTTTAAGATCTTCTGTCATTGCAAAAGGAAAACTTCTGAATATATTAAGTCTTAGACAGTCATTTCTGTCACATTGTACCAAATGACAGAAAAGGTAATAAAAAGAAATGATCATTCCCAAATTTTATTAAAATATGAGCAAAAATAAAATGAGAATAATCTTCTTTAGAAAGTTCCCACACATAGAAGACTTTCCATATTAGAGCAAAGAGGAGGAGATTGTATGATCCACAATATGGTACTGTGTCTTTTATTCAAACTATTTCCAAGTTTCTAATGGGGGAGCTGCATCTACATTACTTTGGGTAAGTAAGTGAACACAAAATAAGGAACAGTTGTTACTAACATTAAGCTAAAATAGCTGCAGAAAGAAAATACCCTCAACTGATGATCATGTGCTCCTGTGTACAGCTACTTGAACTGTGCAGAACATCTGCAGTGGGGAGAAAAGAAGCGGTTTGACTGTATGTGAGTCAAAGTACACGATGACTTAGTTTGTGCAGGTACTGCCAAGGGGAGGTAAGCACGTCACAGTACTTGAAGAGAGCAGGGGCTGGAGTTTGCTTCAGCTTGCTGTTGCCCACTGAGTACAGCACTCGTGTTAAGCAGCGGCAAGTCTCATTCAGCAGTTTTCCAACAAAGTCAGTAACAGAATGAAGTGCAATTTTTCAACAATATTTAATACACTTTTATCTCCATTGTCCAAGCCTGAAGAACCCTAGAAATCTTTTTTGGTCAGTTGTTTTGTTTGTTTTTGGTTCTGATTAACCAGTGCTTTCTATCATTAAAGAAAGAAAACAGAAAAAAAAAAAAAAGAAAAAAAAAAGCAGAATGTGTTGGTTGTTTACTACTTGCAATTTCTAATTTAATTCACTTTGTGAGGTCTTTCCTCTACTGTTTAGCTGTCCTGATGAGTTTGGGAGGGATCGACTGAGGGAGAGGATGAGAAGACCAGCATGGCATTGCGGTGTTACTGATGTGGGAGAAGATTATGGGGAGTTGTGTTGAGGTTACTTTTTTTTTTTTTTTTTTTTTTTTTTTTTTGTAGGGGAGGAAGAAGAAGAAGGAGGAAGATGCCACCCAGAAGTTTGCATTATCAACTTTTACAGAAGTCTGCTCATGAGGCTGCCTACAGCCCAGTCCCTAAATACACCCAAAAGTGGGCAGGCCCAGAAGCAGAAAGCTAAACTAGACTGGTTTAGCTTTCTGCTAAAAGCTAAACCAGACTAAACACCGTCTGGCTGCTGGTGGCAATGCCTAGGCTGTGGCCACCCTGGTCTTGTCTGGCCTTGGGTGGGTCTTGTCAAAGCTTCACCATGTTGAGTGTATGTAAACATAGAATCACAGAATCATAGAACATCCCAAGCTGGAATGGACCCTTAAGGATCAGCGCCTGGCTCCACACAGGTCTACTCAAAAATTCAGACCATATGACTAAGTGCACAGTCCAAATGCTTCTTGAACTCATACAGGCTTGGTGCCGTGACTACTTCCCCGGGGAGCCTGCTCCAGTGCGTGACATCTCTCAGTGAAGAACCTCTTCCTGATGTTCAGCCTGAACCTCCCCTGCTGCAGCTTGACACCATTCCCACAGGTTCCATCAGTGGTCGCTAAAGAGAATAGGTTGGTGCCTGCCCCTCTACTCCCTGTTGTGAGGAAAAGAATTAATGATCAAGTCATATCTTATATGACTAATTATTGCCTATATGTTACACATGCCTATTCAATTAGTGTTGTTTTTTTTTTAGAATAAAATCCTATAAAGAAATTAAAAACATTGAATGAATACTTTAAGTTAGAAAATGTGAATATTTTTCTAAAATGTTTTCTTCCTTTTAAGAATAACCCTATATGATGATTATTCTTTCAAATAATAAAAGTATTTAATTTTATGTAGTTGATTTCATATAGCTGAGACTGGAGGAAAATTAAACAAACAAGGTACATCTGTGACTTCAACTGAAGCTTACATGAGTTCCAGTCAGCAAACTGGACATGGCAAAGCTCATCTCAAAAGAGAGAAAGGGAGAAAGAGAGAAAATATAAATGATTGAAAATCACAACCATGACGACAAACAACTTTGAAAGGATATTACTTCATGGAAAACACCACTTTTAAGAGAAATACTAGGAAACTAAGAGTGGTAAGAAATGCTGTATGATCCCTTTTAGGCCTTTTTACCTGGCCTCTTTTCTCTTGCCTCATGTATGTCATGGGTAATCCCTACAACTCTTCCAGGCATCTGCCTGTCCATGTCCCTCCCACATACCTGTACTTTCACTACTCTACCTTCACCATCATACTTGTAATTCACCCCTTTCCCTAAACTCCATTTAACTGTGATTTCATTTATTCTCTTTCCCCTAAGATGGTCCTTGCTTTGCAGCAGGAAGGCCACTGCAGGTGGGCTCTCTCCAGCAGCCAGGGGCCACCACAGGTGGGCAGAGAGAATGGGGAGGATGGCAAGTGCTCTCACCTCAGCCTCCAGCCCACTCCTCTAGACGAAGCTTTGCTTTGCTGATTTATGACTGCTCCTGAGCACCTTGGATGGAGTTATAGCCCCATGTATTACACAGTGCCTTCTCTGTTATTCTTGCTACAAGCCACAGATTTATGGTGGCTTTTAAGCCAGGCAGTGCATGAAGAAATATGATCTTAACAAAACATAGAAGGGACCAAGGGAGGTCAAAGTGTGGGGGCTGAACGCTCTGTGGTGATCCAGGATTTCCCTTTATTTACTGCTCACACCTTTTCAATCTCAAGTGGATTTCATCTGTCTTGGACAGCCCTAGCCAACAGATGGGGAGGAATCTGCAGTCTGGTGAGCTGAGTGGCTTTGCCATCAGCGGATGACTTTTATTATGATTTAGCACACATAGGAAATCCCAAAATATCATTGGTGAATTAAATCAATTTACACACAGAGTGCCAGAAAGATGCATAGCATCAACAAAAGCAGGAATCTCACAGTACGAGTGCCGTCTTGTACTGCGTCATCTACCTGTGTTTTTCTACGTTAACCATGTCCTACAAAGCTCTACTTTTGATACTGAAGGAAAAAAAAAAAAAAAAAAAAAAAAGTGATAGACTTTTACAGAGAAGTGAAGCAAAAGCTATGCCTGATTTACTCAGTATGATGGTCTGACAAGGAAAATAATGCTGTAAGTAATTTTCTTTTATAGTATTTTTTACATGTATTCATAAATTATATGAAAACAGTAACACAGAAAAAAAGGCAGGCACTCTTCTTAATGTATAGATGGATAATGTGAGTCTGAGCAGCACACACATGAGGACACATGCGTAAGGGTAGAGCTGCAAGGAGTTACCTGAAGGACCACAGGCTGCTCTGAACCCTCTGTGTCAAGATGCAAAGTGAAACAGCTGGCAAAGGGGGAAGAAAGGTGTAATTACAGCCAACAAATGACTCCTGAGCCAACACCAACTGATGAGGCCCTGGTCTCAAAACAGAAGCCAGGAACAGGAGTTTTTTTCCTCCTAGGTGAGTGTCATAATCCCCTCCAGCTACAGCATCATTCTCTTTTTTAATAAGACAGCTTCCTCTTGATCAAAGATTTATTATCATTATTTCTCTATCCAAGGAATGAAATTTATCTCCCTTCTGCTTAGTCTAGGGCTATAGCAAGAATCCTATGGCACTTGGTTTTTGAAAGGGACCCAGCAATCCAAATGGGCACCCGCTCTTCCAAGCTTCCAGAACAACAGTCTCTAATTCTCAGATACATCATGCTGCAAGCTCTTCCTAAAGCAAGGAAAGTCAAAATAGGCCAGGCCTTGGATACTTTTTGGTAATTCTTTTTGGTAATTTTTTTACCCCTTTGTGCAGAGCCTTGAAGCCTGGGCTTTGCCTTTGAAGGTCGTGGGTGAGGTCTTCTCATGAGATGCATGGTCTCCTCCAGAACGGCATTGAAAGAATGGTGAGTGATGTAACTTTGCAGGAAGGGGAGATGTGTACCCACTTGGGATTCATATGTTCCCCAGCTCTCTGTTTTCCAAATAATTACTTTTCTCATGCTTGTTTCCTCACAGTACATGCTGTGTATCATGATGTCAAGAACAATAGATTTTTCAAATATTAACACTGCAGCAGGCATTGAATATAATGATTGTGTATTGTGAATACATTATATTACGAACATGACATATACCCAAACCTCTCACAATCTGAACATGCTACCTCCTGTTTTTTCAATGTTATGATGACTTACCTCATCTGAAGATCCTATGTATTTTCTAAGTGGAGTTTCACTCAGCCTAGTCTTTGATTATTATTGATGTGGAGAAAGCAGGGAACAACAGTGTCCTGCTTTATGCAGTAAGAGACCTAGGGAATGCCAGGTTCAAAATGATCAAAAAGAGATGATTCTTCCCAGCCTGTTGAGGTTAAGCAGTGGAGATCTTTTCTATTAAGTGTACCATGGTGCCATTGGCAGGCCTACAGCAGCAGCTCAAAGAACAATATGAGTGAGAGAAGTATGTGGATGACCACAGCAGATGTAGCACTCCTGTCTCAGCTTGGGATAGATCCTTGGAGGGGCAGAGCCTAATTTTGTGGAATGGCTTTTTCACTTTAGTTAAAAGTTGTCAAAGGTGTCTCTCATGGTAGGAGCACTAGCTCAAATGAGCTTCCTCAAGAAGCAGTATTGAACTTGCTTTTGTTTAGATGGCTTTCCCTTTGACATGCTTGCTTTGCAATAGAGACTTGGCTTGAAAAGAAGATTCTAAAGATGAACATGGTGAAGATAAATCTTAAAGCTACTGCAACTATGGGGGCATTCCCACTTTGGACAGGAAGTAGACTTACAGTTGAAAACCATTTCAACTTCATAGCAGATTTTGTGAGGGTTGAAAGTTAGTTACTTTTGCATTAAGCTTCAGTACTTTAAAAAATAAGGTGCTCAGTTTATGCAAGAGTCATGAGGCAGTTCCTCTGATTCTGTTCTTTCTGTCAGGAGCCTCTTGTCCTTGCACTTGATTTGTGTGCTCAATTATAGCTGTTCCAGTGGGATACATAACTTAGATTTTATAATAGACTGGAAGTACAAAGTTATAGCTTAAACTGTATTGCAGTAGCACTTCTTGCTGGCCTGTTATGCATATTTCAATAAAGAAAGGTCAAAATACTGCACCACCACAGAAGGGGGCTCATGATGTCTTTATCTGTAGTATAGGGAAAATATTCTTTGCTTATGTGCCAAAACTTGCTGTAAATTTAGAAACACAAAACCTGAAGATTTTTAGTATGGCTAAAATACATTGTGACAACTGCCAGATACAGATTAATTACCAGTGATCAGGGGAGTGGTGGAGGATGAGCGGGAGTGTGTGAACCTCTTATTCCTGGTATTGCTGATCACTTAAAAGTTTCAAATGAATGCAGTGTTTAATATAGACCATGCTGCTGCTGGAGTAATGAAATAAATTACTGGTTAGTTCTGAACTTTGAAAACGATCATTTTTCTTTTGGTGGCAGTTCTAGATCAGGCTTCTATATGTGGAAAACAACAACAACAAAAACCCATCTCCTAAATATAGCTTTAGTTTTCTACTTCAGAGCTACAAGCATAAAATACCCATGAATCAATAATGGAGGCCTGTAAACACTCTTCTGGCTCTATAGTGTACTTAATGTCAACCAGGGGCTGTAGTAAACCACAATTTCCTAGCAGCAATAAATGCTGCAAGCTCCAGAGCTGAGCACAAAGTTTAATTAAAAGCAAACAGATATATATAAATCTGCTGACGCAATCTCTCACTCTTGCATCTGAAATATATAGAGGCCTCTTCCTGGAGACATTGGATGATTTAGAATTCAATTTCACTTAAGAAGCCTCTCAAATATACTATCCAGCGAGTCTCTGCACATTACATAAAGACATCCTGTTATCTAAGTGCATTGATCTCCCATTGGTTTACATGCCTAGTGTATCAGCTGTTGAGTTATTTGGCTTAAATTAGCCAAATGGCTTAAATTAGACAAACAGAGACTCAGCAACATTTTCCTGTGCTCTAAATAGACAGACATCCTTGAACTTTCAGGAGGAACTACGTTTGGCAATTAATGGGTATGACAGCACTAGTGCAGTATATTATATTTTAGCTATAAGTAAGCTTAGCAGTTTTGAGGAAATGTCCCATTGATGCTTATCTCCAAACAAGCTCTGCTTGTATTAGCCATGTTTGACAAGCTATAAATGTTCTATAAATGTTTAATGACATGCAGTTTCTTGTTGATTCGTGTCCTAAGTCCTTCCTAGCTCTGCACACACTTTGGCCTGAGCTTACTCCTTCTCCTCCTCCCCGTGTTCTCTGGTTGTTTGCTGGATGTGGCACTGCAGATCCCATGTCTGCTTTGCAGATTGATGGGGAAATCTGAGTTACATGGGACCTCTGGACCTGTTACAAACTGCTGTTGAAAACAGAGACTTAGATTAGGTTATCCAGGGCACTGTCAAGCAAAGTCTTGAATATTTTCAGTGAGAAAGGACCCACAGCCTCTCTGGGAAACATGTTATGATGCTCAGTTGTTCTCAGGCTGAAAAATTACTCTTTTTCTTATATTGAAGGAGTTTCCCCTAAAGCAAGTTGTGTCCACTACCTCTTATCCTGCCACTTGCCATCCTTTTGAAGAGAGCATCTCCATCTTTTCTACCACTACCTTCTGTGGGTATTACAAGGCACTGATTAGATCCATCCTGAGCCTTTTCTTCTGCAGACCGAACAAATCCAATTCCTTTAACTTTTCTTTGCATCTTATTTTTCTTAACTTTTTCTTAACCTTTCTTAACTTACTAACTTTTCTTTGTAGTTCTCCAACCCTCTGATCATCTTGGTGACCCTCAGCTGGACCTTCTCCATTTTTCTAATGTCTCTCTTTAGCTAAGGGCCCAAACTGGACATTAAATTCCAGGTATAGCCTAAAAAATCCTGGGTAGAACTATAAATACATCTGTCTGACTTTGAACTGACTTTAATGCTAATTTTTCTGAACACAGAAAAGGTGGAGGATGACAACTGTTATGGGACTTGGGAATAAAATGAGACTTAGTTGGCTTTGCTTTCTCAGCACTTGCTCCTCATAAATTAAAAGTATCTAAAAGTATACATGACACTAGAGTTCTGGAATAAAGTATATTAAAGCAATATTCCAGAGGCAAAACAGCTTCTCACACAATATGAAACATGCGGTTAGTTCTCAAATAACTACCTCTCAAAGAGTTAGAGTTCATTTATACTGGGGACCAAACCATAAAACCTTTGAACAAATATTAATCTCTTCCTCTTGTTTTATTTATAGTGGTCTTTGTATATTTATATCCATATGGTGTTTTGGCTGGCATGCAATCTATTGTTGCATTGCTAAATAAAAGTGAACCATGAAGTCTTCATAGCCAAAACTTTTCTTGCATTCTTGAGGAGATACAGTGATGCATTTGTTGCCAATGTGCACCTGGCTGGATCCGTAAAGACAGATCTCTCATTCATGGATGTTTTAAGAGGCCTCCAGAAGCTTACTGAGTTAAGGATATCCCAATCAGCTACTGCTAGACTGAAAGAGACTACCACATTTTGCACTAAAGGAAGGCTTTTAAAAAATTAAAACAACAACAACAAAAAACACTAAAATTTGTATGCATTAACTGAAGCTCTGTCTTCAGCAGTAAAGATACACAAATCAAAACAACAGGAGATACTGCCTGCAGTTGCAGAATTTTGCTTTAGATGTGCTTCAAATTTGCTTTCATATGGAATAGCAAAACCAAGAATTTATGGAAAAAGAGATTAAGAGACCACCTTGCAGTTCTTAAAACATCTAAAACTTAGCTTGGAAATATGGAATTAAGTTCTTTGTGTACAAAGACAAGTTCAGAACCACAGCTCAATTCATGCAATTTTGCAAGAAACTAGAACAAAGGCGAGACATCAAAACAAACAAACAACAATAAAACACACCACTGAACAGTAGTTATTTCATCAAAACATAGGCCTTAAACCAAATTTTGTCTTTTTTGTCTTACTTACTTTGCCTGTTTCATCTTAGTCATGGCAGTTGTCTTGTCATGGTTAGAGTGACATGGGGGGTAAAGCAGAGGAAAATGAGTTCAAACTGCATCATGAAACAATCCAAATATTCAAAGCACAGTAATATGTTTAAAATACAAAAATTAATTAATTTTTTGGGGGAAAAATTCTACCTGTCTTTCTAACATTTTTTACTTTTTTGATTGAACAATAAAGTCAATGTATTAAAGTTGCACTGGCCTTTATTTTTATTTCTGCATTAACTAACTACAGTAGTTACTGAAAACCAGAATAAAGTCTGGATATGCACTAATGGACTAGTATTTGTAATTAATACCCTGAGATTTGTCCATCCTGATGTTAAAATCAAATGTTTAGTGGGCTAGAAGTACTGCAAGCCAAGATAAGTTTGATGTTTGTCCATTTTCTCCTAAATGAGGGGGGAATCCTGAAAATGGAAAATAAAAGAAGGAGGAAGCAAGGACATAGGGAGTGACTCAAGAGGCCATGAAAATGTAAGTGAGATTGCATATATGCAACATGATCAAGTTGGAAAAATAATTTGGTAGGAGGACTGCAAGATGAACTAGTTGTGGAAGAAGTCACTTTAGTCAGGAGGTAGAAATCTGATGCTGGAGGGAGTCTGAAGATGAGTCTGATCAATCCATTTTTATTTTTTCAAAACATGAATTATTCTTAGTCAACAGGACATGATCTAGTGAACAGAGTATACATTAGCTTAAAACAACTCCATTTGAAATGGTCTTGAAACTAAAAGTTTGTCTAGAACAGTATTTGAACTCTCAAGTGTGTGAGATTCTGCAAGCCAATTGAGAGCCAGAAGGATCTCCTGCAATTCAATGTTCAACAGCTATTAAAGCTTTTATTTTCCTAGTGTGCAAGAGCGAGTCACAGAAAAAGAGTCAAGGGAAAAGAAATTTTAGAACTGTTCCTGACTTAGAGGTGTAAATATCCAATGAAGACTGAAGTAAATATGGGGCAAATGGCAAATAGGACTAGGAAAGAAACATGGAAGCTGAAAAAGATAATGTTTCAGTGCTGTCAAAATTGTCAGTGAGTGTATGAAGACGGCAAGTATGGAAAATGAAATATTGGTTTAATACATCACATTGAAATAAAGTAGATCCGAAGAAAGGCTAGAGAAAAATCTGGTAAGGTCATCAGCAGTCACAGCAAGGATGGGGATGTATGACACCTACAACTGCATCAGAAATGTAAAATGAGGGCTTCAACTTCCAAACACTAGGAAACTGTTTTTGAGAGTCATCTGCTAGTCTTACCTGAGATTCTGGGATATGCACATGAAGCTTCCTAGCAAAGATAGAAACTGAGATGCCTGAAATTTTAGGGAATATTATCTACAAAAATCAATAAAGAAGCAATAGGAACTGTAAAGATAAGCATTGAAACTTAGTTATCGTGTCTTGCAATCCCAAAATACGAGTGTCTTAACATCTTCCTTCCTCAGTTCATATAAATTTAATGTATTTTCCATGTACAATAGTGCCTTTATACAAAGTTTCTCAACTCTTTTGCAGCAAGTGTTACTGCCTAAATATAAAGCTGCTCTTTGAAAGAAGAGTTACTTTCCCTTTTGGCACTTCTGAATATTTCTGTTTCAATTTTCTGTTCCTTTCCCCCTAAGATCTGAGTTGCAGAGCTGCTTACTTCAGTCCCCAGTGTAGGCCTATTTGTATTGGCTTTGATGTAAGCAGTAAGCTTCTTGGTTTAATTTTAATGTTTCAGGGGAAGAGTTTATTCACATATGAATTACACAGCATGAAATCTTAAAAGCTTTAGTTAGATGCTCATAGAAAAAATGCATAATGAGTTTGGTGGGGAAAAATATTACAGAACTGATGTTCTCCTAGTCTAAAAAGACAATGTGCTTTTGGGAAGAGAAAAAAGAGTGAGCAAGATGGGAAAGACTTCAGCACAAAGAAGGCACTGCAGATTGACATGTAGTAAGCCTGTTAGGTCAAATATACATGTGCAGACTGGAATGAGAAATGCTACAAGGGGAGAACAAAAATCCCAGATTTCCAAGCAACAAGTCCAGCGTGTAGTCTGTTGAACTAGCCACCTTGCTGTGATCTTTAGCAATGCTGTGTGCAGGAGCAGGATCTTGAATACCTTGTAGGCATTACAGTTATTTTTTGTCATGTCATGAACCTCTGGTCATTTGTTTAGTACCAGCAATGTGTATCATACTTTTTATTGCCAAGAGTGGCAATAAATTTTTCTGCTTGAGGCTGGGTAGCTCCCACAAGCATGGTATCTTTGATCCTTAGGAAGTCACAGAATGAGCTTCTTGAAAGTGTCTTACTGCAGTGCACAGGTAAAAACCACAAAAGAAATCTTGTCAGCAGTGCAACTGCCACAAATACAGGAAAAAAAATACAATCTATTTTGATCTGGTCGATTATTTAAGAATTGTTCTATAAAGTCACTGTAATCAAACTCATCAGTACCCTAAAGGCCTGGGATGAGTAGAGGATGAGAGATAATATCCGACAAAAAGGATGGAGACATGCTCATGTGTTTGCAAAACCCATCCCGAGCCACTGGATGGCGGCAGGAGCAGCTGCAGTGGCTGCTCACAATGAACGCAAAATCCAGTGCAGAGCAACAGGCGGTGATGGATTAGCTTCAATTAGAAGCATTTATGAAGGGAAATCACTTGGGCCTGAATCTAACGATGAAAAATAGCATAATATATCCATGGGT